ACATTTTCCACATAAACAATGACAATAATAACGACAATAAACCATATCACTATCAAGAATAAAATAAAGTTGAAAATTTATTCAATGCATCTTACAGTATCTACCTTCCTTCAGTAATGATAAACATTGAATAATAACACACAAGAGCTACATATGAATTAACACATAAGTGAATTGAGTAAAAATATGTTTACTGTAAACTACTTGTCATAGACAAATAAGTCAATTACCACCTCCAAATACATACACAGAGACAATGAATTGTAAAAAAAAAATTTACGGGCCCAATCTGTTTAAATTTGGCAGAGTCCTATGTTGATGAGACACTGAAAATTGTCTGTATAACAAGGTTGCTCTATTTTGGAAAATGATGGAAATGGTTAACCAATGAATAGTAGTTAAACATAAAGGTTAACTAGATACTCAACCAAGGTCAATTCATGTCAAAATACTCCATACAGTGACCTGTTTTTAATGCAACACTATATAACTCATAAACCCCTTGCATAAGGAGGCCTCTCTGTGTTGAATAAAGTCGTCTGGCATTAGGCAAATATAATAATAAAAGTTGAAGTCCCCTTAGTGAAGGGGTTAAAATGAATACTGTACCAGTATCATTCAGTACTGGGCAGCCAAATGTATAACCAAAATTCAGCTCATACAAATACTGTATATACCAGTACAGGTAGATGTAAAATGAGACATAGGTAACACCTCTCACTTGCCAACAGTGCATAACAGACGTGACCAATCGCCCAAGTGGCTAACGAGCCGATCTTTTGGTGAAGAGGATAAAAGAAAAGGAATAGTAATCAGAGACGTGACCAATTGCCCAAGCGGCTAACGAGCCGATCAGTGGTGAAGAGGATAAAACAAAACAAAAACATCTACATTTGTATATTAAAATTTGTTCCAACTGCAACACAATGCCTAAAATCACAGCACAAATGGCAATAAAAGCATAACTGATTATAATACATATCGACAATATAAAAATTAAAAAAAAAAAAAAATTCATTCCCACTCTCTAAATATTTCCAATTACTTTTACCAAATAAAACTAGCATCTGGATCTACCACAGTGGACCATCGAAGAAACGCTTACATGTGTGAAAAAATAATTACATATTTTGGAATGAGAACTGGCGCACCATCAAATGGACCTATCAATAGTAGAATAATACTCGATATACTGTATGAGCATCCTGCGAATGAGCCAGAGTAACCCCCCTAGCTGCAGGGTTAAGTAACTAAGTACAGCCAGCACGTCTAGATGGTTGAATACCCAGGCTCCAGGACCTACTTGTATGACTGGGATTTCAAAATCAAATGAATTCTAAAATAACATCACCTTCAAACCAGATTTCAATGGGATAGCCTAATGGCAAGAAATTACCGACCCTAAAATGCCATCTAGCATGAACTCGTACACTACAGTCCACTTTGGTCGACATCGGCTAAAAGGTGAAGTCACCAGGACCCAATAACAAAGTTGCAGAGAAAATTACAACACTTCTGCTCTAATATTACTGACATCAGGTAAGTATTCTCTTCTGATTCGAAACAAATATGGTGTGCACGGCTGCCACACAGTCTTAGCAGTTAGTTTTAAATAAAGCTGGACGTATTGTGTTGCAAGTGTTTATAAAGTGAAAAAGTTGCAAGTTGGTTTCAAGTTCAACACCTCCCACAGCTCTGGTCACATACTTCCAAGATAATATCTCAGCATATCTTGCCCATGCAGGATCAGTCTTGTTTCAGTTCCTCGAAAGGGAAATATCTAGCAAGGAATCTCAGGAAGATTCCACAACGAAAGTTCACACTACAGTACATGTCCTGATATCAAGTCTTTCAGATAAAATGCTTTTAGAATTTACTACACACACCTTAATTGTATGTTCTGTAGTTGATTATTTTGTAATCCTTCATGGGATTTGAAAGATAACTATCCTAAATGGAATTGTTCAATGGAAGCAATGAGGTCACTTTCATAATGATTAATACTGTATCCCTAAAACTGATATAACCGTCACACAATAATGGCCTTTTCCCAATGGGACTTGTTCCAAGTCCTATTATGCCACATAATGAACTCCCTCAACAGGAATTATACAGATACCCCACTACCTAACACTGCTCTCACTAAGAACCACAAACAGGTGGTGTTCAGTCTAAGAGCAACCAGGCCACTATGTTACAGGTCCTTAAGGACGCTGCTATGAAGTTGAAGTAGCTACTGTACAGTATATACAATTTTCAATTTATTCCATTCTAGACTTCAGTTACACATTTTGGGGCCATGAGGCCTGAAGATTCAACCACTATGTTAAACAAAAATGGATACAGTACAGGATACAAAGTAGAAACTTAATAAGAAAACAATCCAAAAGTGTGTCACTCTCTAATTTTGATAGTGTGTGAGTGTGTGTGTATAAAAGGATGATAGATGAGACTGTGTTTTTACACCGGAAAGGAAGGTTGAGCTTGTTAACCAGAAGAATCGGACAGTGAAGACTGCTACAATATTGGGTTTATACAGGGACAGAATCTGGTTGTGTGGGTAGTACAGGACAGGTATTAGTGTAGGATAAATATCAATGAGCTCTTATAACTTTAATTTCTCTATAAAACAAATACTTTTAGGGTATGCTTGAATTTGTAAGTTCCAGATATGCATCCCTATTTTTTTCCTAAATGAAATTAAATTTGACTGAGAACAAGACTATGAAAGCAAACCTCATTCTCTATATATATGGTGTCATTTCACATTGCTTCATCTGTCATAAAATACAGTTTTTTCATCCCTAAATTTGCTTATGAATTAGTCGATCTTTTCTGAACATAGTACAGTACTGTATAAAGTTGAAAATCACTGCAATATACTGTATTAATTGATGAGTAACCTTGTCATAAAATAAAAGCTATAGAAGGGTACCAATAATATATACCATTTAAGTGACTTATCTGGTGACAGTATGCCAGCTCCTTCTATAAGACATTCATAATTACTGTTAAAAGTTAAGAACTATGCTAATTCTACTAACATGACTGCCACTAATAATTGTGCCAGTCTGCATATGCATTTCTAAACTCTCGGTAAACATATAGTTTGAGCTATGGGCCTTGTTTGGAGATACATACCACAATTTTCTTATACAGTATACCCCTGTAATTACTATGCATTACTTCTTATTGCTGCAACAGGAGGAACACTAGGGAAAATGAATATGACCTTAGTATTAACTTCAATGCAAAGTAGCAAGCCCATCAACACTTTTGTTGACATACTGTAGCTATTGGTGATCTGTGAAACTGCAGCATTAAATCATTTATGAAAAATGACAATAACCAAATTAACCTAACTTAATCACCCAAGTTTATTACTTTTAAGTTGTTAGGTTGGTGTAACCATTCATCAGTGATTTAATGCCATTGTTTCACAACCATATGTAAACATACCTGTCACTGCTCTATTTATAAATAATTAACAGACAGCACTGGGCATGTGAGGATACTATATTCAATAACATTCACCGAGAGCGTTTTATATATATGCTGTAAGCCCCTTCCCCTCTGACTATGACAATTAGTAACAATAGAGGCAGGTGAAGTGCAGGATATATGGTACGCCTGACCAGTCTTCAGCTACATCGTTGATTCTACAATAAAACTAAGAGCTAAGATGATGGTGATTATGCTATGTAATTTCAAATTCATTTTCTCCTAATTTCCACCAACTGTTTCTACAATTACACGTAGTGCTTAGTAATTACAGTATGTAAACAAAACTGTAGTAAATATATCCTAATACAGTAGTTGCAAGTCTAAACTACAGCTTTCAGAATTCACTACCTGTGTTTTGAGAATTCTGTACTCAACAGATTAGCTGTGATAACATGAATATGGTGCAGTATACATTTACATTGTACACCAATCAAATTTCCCAAAAAAGAAATTTCAATATAAAAAATATGACCCACCATACATGTAAACCTTGCAACCACTCCACACCCAGTTACAAAGCAGACAAAATCTTAAATGTTTCATGTGATATCATTGAGAGGATACACAAATATATCTAAAAATCAGTTTTGAGATTAATTTGAAATGAACATTTATTGACTGAAATTTAAATACACCATGGTTGTAGTTGTTGTATCCTTGGATAACATATCAGACTTTATAATCTATAGTCAATGCAGCGACATTAACAGAATACATATTACTAATTTTTGGTGATAGCAAAAGTGATATTACGGTAATTAAGGTTAACACAGTTCTGTCCTTAACACATAATACTATTGCAATGTAAATTGGGATTTACAACATGGCCAATGCATCTCTCATCATCACAAAACTTATATACTTTGGATAAACTGTGCAGTTCAGATAAATAACTATAATTACTGCTGAGTCTTATCTTAAAACACAGGTGTGAACACCACCTCAGTTACTCAACATTGATGGCTCCAACAATCTCCAACTTAGAAACAGGAGTGTGGTTACTCATCAAGACAAATTATGCTACATAATCACATTACAGACCCTGGGTCCTCCCACCGCCCCCACTGGTCCCAAGATGTCCTAATTCTGCCCTCTCCCCTCCTACCCTTTTACTAGGGGACCATCCTACCTTTCCTGGCCACATTCATCACTAGATTTATGGTTACAATATGTTCTTATTTTTTATTTGATTATGAAAAAGGGAGCATTAGTGCTTTGGCAACGAGGTGAAGTGCAAGAACGAAAAGCGGGTGAGAGAGCCTAGGGATGGGAGGGGAGGGGATCAAAACACCTCGACTGGTCCCGGGGATCTGTCACCACACACCAACACGCCCACTCCTAAACCTGGCCCTAAACGGCTAGTGTTTCTATAACCCAGCCGTGAGCCTATTAACATGTACCTCAACTCATTTTTGGGTTAAAGGTTGCGAGGAAGGGAGGAACAAGATCCAATATGGCCGCTTAAGCAGACGATAAACAGAGCGAGTTGTCTTTACCTAGTAATAACAATCTGTGCGTCGCTCGGTACACCTGTTTGTCTTGCTGGATTTGCTTGTTTATCTTCTTGTTTGCTTCTTTCCGCTTTTTGTTTTCCTCGGCGTCACCTTTCGCCCCAGCGCTACCAAAACAACCCATGACATTAGTACACTCTTGGAAGAAAGCTCCTAGCCGCAGGCAGGCGCGGACGTCCCGCGGACCTGTCTCGTTTCCGCACCAGTTGCCTATTTTTGCGGCTGATCTCGCGTCACTAGGTCATGGGATCCAGTCTACATGTCACTGAGTGAAGTGGCAGCCACCTGGGCCATGGATGCCGGGCGATGGTCCAGATATCACTCGATCTCAGTCGTTCACCATCATCGCCAATCATCTGCACAACCTTCACCAGTGAATCAGTCGCGACTTCTACTCCATCTCTCGCAGTCTCCGCAAAGCCCTGACACCAGCACCCAGCTCCCGGAAGTGACGACATATTCTGTGTAAACATGATAGGAAAACTTAATATATTCTTCTTCGTTTGCTTATTGTTCATTTTACAAAAGAATACTTATTTATTTTAAACATATTTTGGAATATAATACGATATTTACTTGCAAAAGACGTTATTGATATCAAGGAATCGTACTTGCAAGTCTAGAGATGGCATATTGGAACGGTGTGCGCAAACAGTGTTGCACTTGCACCAACGAGAAGGGTGGGACCGTGGGACCTGCTCAGACTCCCGTAGGATCTGGGAGTGTTAACACCTGCTCTGGGTAGCGACACCCCCGTCTTTGATTATATACATGCATTTAGTTTGTTACAGACAGTAGTCCCAATCGCCAAAAAATTCATCATGATATTCTAAACTAAGAGAATCAGAGACTTAAAATAAGATCGCTACAAAGGTATGACACCTTAAGCTCGGAGTTCATCACTACAGAGCATCCTAACCATCCGAGATGATCCGTACGACAACTTACCACTTTGTCAGTGTCCATATGACGGACACCAACTTATTAATTTGACTACAACAGGTCATGTATTAAAATTACAAGGGGAAAATTGTCAAGTAATGATAAAATGACATATATAACACCGCAGTTACATTTGATCATAGTACGACTGCTTTTGCTGGTTAGTCGTACGTCAGCCAACGCCGTTCTCGAACAGGTGTTCACCAATCAGTGAAGCAAGACACGGACAGCATAGTTCTTATCATGTCCTTTACATGGCACTTCGAAGTGTTGTTTATACCTAGTTACTAAAGGAGTCCAGTTACTAGTGAAGAGAATTGCAGTGTTACTATTTTGTAAAGACATATGGCAAGGGAACCAGTATACAGTATACTACCGTTCACCGCTGATAAAGAAATTTGGTAAATTGTCATACAAATTTATGAGTGGTTTAGCATGTATATAAACATTGCAGATATAGATTAATATACATGTAGACAATGAATGTATACAATGTACACAGACCGTGTAGGTGCGGATTTACAAAGGTAAATAGTAAGGTAGTTTGATCAAAGCATCAGATGCAGATTTTGATTGGGGTACTTTGCTTAGGCTTCGTTAGTAATCAGTTATAGTAAATAATTAAGAATGAAAGATAAAATTTGCTCAAAAACGCAGTATAACAAGCATTATATCGGGTAGACTATCCGAGGCTGAGGGGTCGCTTCGGTACAACAGTCTATGGTTATGTTACTTATGTATTTTTTATTTTTAGACTTAACTGTGAAGTGTTTGATAGCATTACTGGTTTTAATGTGTTAGGTAAATTGTTCCAGTTATTATAGGTGTAAAGAAGAAAGTTTTGTAAAACCGCGGACACCAGGTGCTATAAAATTGTTCACTTCCCCAATCAGACCAAATTATTGACTAGTTGTATGAACGATTTATTCAACGCTATCAGCAAAGACTTTGTCATTAATTTGTCAGTCTTATTCACTCACCACGGAGACAAGTTGATTTTTCTGTGACAGGTTGCTGTAACCTTCCAATCACGGGATCAGAGTTGTACGAAACTCGTACTGTACTTGTTTCTTCAAGACTTGTGGTTAGTTCTTCACAGTCAACACCGTGGACAGCACCAGCTAAGTCACCCACAAATGCCATGCATAACATGAATAACGTTTTGATTGTGTAGAACTGATAAGTGACCGTTGTATTAGGTGTCTTTTGACTTCTATCAAATAAATAATTCTTATACATATTCTTCTTTCTAGCCAAGGTAGTTTCACTCTACTCACACCAAAATCATAACATGGGCTTCTCATGGTAAATTTAATCATAAAACTAATCAAACTTTACCAAACAATATTAGTTTATTTAGCCATTTTATATCTGTGATCAATTATCACACCTAGGAGAGTCTGCGAACACAGCCCGGAAATGTTTGGGGTAGACAGTCGCCAACCTTAAGTGTGTGAACCGTGAGGGTGGGGTGGGACCATGTTTGACTCATAATTTCTCTCATTTATAGATGGTTCACTGTCTAGCGGTCATCAGTGGTAGCCTATTGACATTATATATAACATGACCCGAAAACCGTGAAAAAAATTGGGGGTAAAATTTATGAAAGACAAGCTGATACGCAGAGCAATGTTGATTATACGAAGTATAAACATTCAGAGATTAATCTGACAGAAGTAAACTTATTTAAAAAGTTTGCGAACATTAAATTTTCATTTTCTTCTATTTACAATGATTGCATTAAAGGCCACTTCTCTGCGCTGTTTCCCTCTCAGAGACAATCCTGCTCCTGGTAGCGTTTTTCTGGTAATATTTATTTTTGGCTCCGGTGATGGATTGGCGATATTCAAAAGGTTAGCTGACTAAAGACGATGTGCCTCCTGCCCCCTGCCTCTCCTCGGCTCTTACAGTATGTCAGTGCCAAAGTAAATTTGCGTGTACACACACACATACTGTGTGTATATATATATATATATATATATATATATATATATATATATATATATATATATATATATATATATATATAAACGTTATTCATATTCACACAATGGGACACAAACGCATCATGGTAAACTGGTTGTTTTGTCATAGCATAGCTAAGGAGAGGTCAGACTGACGGATTGAATTAAACCTTGTGAGAGAACATAAAGTGTTTTGACAGCTATAAGCGTAACAGCCTCAAGACAACGAAAAATCAGATAATAATGAAGTTGCCATAATATGTAAAATAAAGATGTTTGTATCAAAAAATATCGTCATAACATAGCTAATTACCAATTACACTTTCTAAATAAGATGATCTCCCACTAATTACATTCCAGGACGCTATCATTCTTGCCAAATTCTGAAATAAATATCCGAGGCCTCACCATTTCCTCCAATATGTCTTGGAAATCACACATCCTTAACATAGCTAAAGCTGCCTCCCGAAAGTTGGGAATACTGTACAGATGCCGTAGCTACTTCACTCCTGAGCAGTTGCTTCAAGTATATAAGGGATTCATTCGTCCTAACTTGGAGTACTGCTCTCATATCTGGGGTGGCTCTTCTTCTGTCCGACTGGTAGATAGGGTGGAATCAAAGGCATTTTGTCTTATTAACTCTCTTCCTTTAGTAGACAATCTCTCATCACTTTCTCTTCGCCGCAATGTTGCTTCACTCTCTCTCTTTTACAGGTACCTTAACGGGCAATGTTTGGTGGACTTGGCATCCTGTGTACCGCCGGCAAGGCCGTGGGCCCGTAACACACGTCTTGCCCGCGGTGCACACCGTTTCTCTGTGGATGTCGGTCACACTAGAATAACCCGTTATAATACATCCTTCTTTCCTCACACAGCCAACCTGTGGAATGCTCTGCCTTCTTGTGTGTTACCATACTTATACAATCTGTCTCACTTTAAAAGGCTGGTTTTCCGGCATCTTCGTGGTGTAGATTAACACAGTATAACCCTTTTCTTCTCTTTTTCAATTTCTTTCTGTTCTTATCTTTTCGCCCCCCAGGCCCCGTTGTGGGTCGTTCGACCTGTGCTCGGGTGGACTAATTCCCGTAAAAAAAAGAAAAAAAAGAAGCTATTTCGCATCGCTGACACAGTATATTATAAGAACAGTCAAATAGGAAAAAAAAGTTGCCCGTTCGATAAGTTTCCAGTCTTTGAGATGGTTGAATCAGCCATACAATCTCAGTCGCCTGTGTCTTTACTTGGTGTCTGTGCGCACACATTTTTTTCTAAGAGGGGGAGTTTGATTGTGGCTATCATAATACGTGGTTTAGACTGCCACTGTCGACAGAGCCACATCTATACTCTACCGCCCAGCCAATTTTTCAAACCCACTCCATCCATACCCCTATTTAACTATAAACTTGACATCTCGAGTGATGAATTTTGATCCGTTAAGTTTACCAGCTTCATAGCTGCAAATATAGTCGTATACTGAATTAAGTGCCTTACACAAAGGCTATAAACAACTCTACTGACTAGACATATATCCAATGATTCACATCTTTATTTTATTGGTCAATTCGTTAGCCTTTTGGGCGACAGATCAGTTCTCTGTCACGCACTGTTAGCAAGTACTGGGCATGTATATACTGGCAACTTGAATGTAACTGAAAATAAGCCAATGTCGGCCGTCTGGTTGTAAATGAGCTCACACCCGGTGCCGTCACAACATTCAATGCCAAGTTATTCCAAGACATTACCTTCTTTACTCCAAAGACATTAGCTCTGGTAGTTTTCTGTATTTGAAGCTTCTTTAACTTGAAGATGTGATCAGTTAAATCTTTATATGAACTGATGCCTGCACTTAAGCGAATAAGACTGTGAATCATTATCAGATTCTCTCCGCCTATACGCAAAGGGCAGTAGCCAGGTGAATCAGAATTGCCAAATTGAGCACAGCACTGCCCTACATTAATGGTTGCCCCTCCTGACCGAGGATGGCCAAGCCCTAGGGCCACCGAAGCGTGAATTTGTTTAAGGTGTAGAGTTGTCGCCAGTACAACAACCATACCCTAAGTTAACGAGTTGCATGACCCAGAGTCAAGGAATAATCGGAGAAGACGGGACAACTCTCCAACTGCACTGGCTAACCATTACCCTGAACACGATCCTCAAATCTATTAACATCCAAGTTCCCAATTACTGCTGGGTAGACAGAGGCAAATGGCGGAAAGAAACTTGCCCATAGTTTCACCCTGCCAGGGGATGGAACCCAGGTCCACTCGCTTGCGAGGCGAGCATGCTGACTATTACGCCACAGGTCACCACTACATTACTACATTAGTAAATATACGGTTATACCGGTATGTCTCAATTCTTCAAAAAAATTACATTGCAAATAGATTTTTTACATCGAGTACTTGAGTGCTTGATTTTTTCCGTTTTGATAAACTTATTTTTTAATAAACTGCATTAATTATACTGTGGTTTAGGCACTAATTTATAAAAACAAACAA